GCGTCCCCGGGATCCCGGCAACCAGCCGCCCCACGTTCTGCGGCCCCGGCCGGGAGCTGGGGGTCGCGAGGCCGTGCTCAGCCCCGCGAGCAGGGGTCCCCGAGCAGCCCCGCACCCCTGCCCCGCGCTCTCCGTCGGCCCCGGGAGCGCCTCCGCGGCCCGGGGAGGGGACGTTTCCTAATCTCCGGCCGGGGTTAAAGTTCTGGTCCTGGTGAGATGCTGGAACCTGCGGCCGCGGCCGCAGCCCGTCCCGGAGGTGTCCTGTCGCCCGTCGCCGCCGCCCGCACCGCCGCCTCTGCCGCCCTTCCGGGGCCATGTTCGCACCGGGCTTGCCCTTCTTGGTGCTCCTGGTGGCCTCGGTCGAGAGCCACATGGGGGTCCTGGGGCCCAAGAACGTCTCGCAGAAAGACGCCGAGTTCGAGCACATCTACGTGGATGAGGTCAACAGCGAGCTGGTCAACATCTACACCTTCAACCACACTGTGACCCGCAACCGGGTGAGGCTGGGCTGGCCGGGCGGGGGGCGAGGGACGAGGGGATGGGCACACCGGGCGAGGCCACCGAGCCATCCGTCCTGCCATCCGTCCTGCCGGTCGCTTCCCAGAACTACCCCGAGCCGCCTCCGCGGTCCTGCCTCTGGCCCCCAGTGTTTCTCTGAAGCTCCACCTGGACGGGGTGTTCAGTTTTGCTTTCTTTGAGACAGGCTCTCGCCGTGCGGTTCAGCCTGGGTTTGAGTTCAGTAACAGCCCAGGCTGGCCTTGAGCCTGGAGCGATCCTGCCTCAGCCTCCCTGGTCCTGGGATTATAGGGGCTCTCAGCCACACCCAGTTCTGGGCAGTTTTTGAAGCGTGGTTTCCCTTCTCTTCCACCTCTATCCCCCTCACCAGCTGTGTTCTGAGCCGGCCTGGCCTGCTTCCTACCCTGACCTTCACAACCTGGCAGCCCTGTGTGGTCCGGGTAGGACGGGACAAGTAGCTTACTCCTAGATTTGTCCAGACAATCCCAGGAGATGAGACAGGCCCAGAGCTGAAAAGATTCTCCAGACTTTTCTGTCTTCTTCCTGTCTCAGAGAATGCAGTTTGGCCTTGTAAGGACGGCAGAGATAAGGCCAACTGCAAGTTGGGTAGCCGCAGAAAGGGAGCTTGTGCCCTGTGAAGAATCCATCTCAGCCAAACAACTTAACCATTACTTCCTCCTCTCCCTCCTTCCTCTTCCTCCTTCTTCCCCCTCCTTCATCTCCTTCTTCTTCCTCCTCTCTTCCTCCTCTTGCTGTTTTTGAGACAGTACTTCACTGTGCAGACCAAGTTGGTCTTGAACTTCCTGTGTAGCAGACTGGCTGTGGACTTGTGATCCTCCTGCCTCAGCCTCCCACGTGTGCTTGGCGTCACCCTGGCTTCTCTCATTTCCTCCCAGCCTCAGAAGTTGAGACTGGGCCTAGCCACGGCTAGGAGGTCGGGCCCTAGGTGGAGCAGCGTGGGAGCCTGTGGCTCCTGTTGGCTTTCTCCTCTCTCCCCGGAACTGTATTGATTACTAGGAAGCAGTAGAGGTAGAAATGGGCAGTCTTGGATTTTTTTCCCCTGGGTGTAGAGGGTTTGGTTTCTGGTAAGCCAAGATTGCCCTCCGTGCCTGTTCCCTGAAGTGTGATTGCCGGCTCCTTGGAGTCCTTTCCCCTCTTAGCCCTATAACGAGGGCCACCTGGACGTAGAGCTGTGGTGCTGTCTACTTCGTTGGGAAAGCTCCCTTAAGCCTGGGGTTTTGGCATCTGTTCACTTCTACTCCCGGGATTTTTAAGCTCCTCAGGTCTGCTGTACAGTATAGCTAAAAATGGGAATGTTATTATTATTATTATTTTTTTTTTTTTTGCGGAACCAGGGATCAAACTCAGGCCCTTGCGCTTGCCAGGGAAGTGCTTATTCCACTGAGCCATCTCCCTGGCCCGGGGATGTTATCTTAACAGAGGGAGAAACTGAGGCACAGAAGTGGAGAGTGACCTCTCTACAGTCCTGTTTCTGGTCACAGCTAAAGATGTAACTTGGCTTTCAGCATCTCTTCCTTATATCGTTCTACTGCCGTCCCTGCTGGGCTCTGGCCTCAGTTTAGTTGCTGAACCAGAGCCTCCCGCCGGTCTCCTGGCTTACAACAAAGATGGTCGCTTCTTGCTCTTCTGTGTGTGTGTGTGTGTGTGTGTGTGTGTGTGTGTGTGTGTGTTGTACATGTGCATGTGTGCACAGGCGAGTGCATCCTATGCACATGGGTGGAATGGGGTATCCTGGAGACACCCAAGTCCCCGCCAGGACCTGGGTCCTGCTGCCCCGCACGTACCTTTGGCCAGGAGTCGGCCTTTTCCTGCGCCTCTCCCCCCACTCGGCACCAGTCCCTCCTGGAGATGGGCCCTGCTCTGGCAGAGGACAGTGGATAGCTTCCCAGACGCACCAGGATGGATGAGGGTGGGGAGGGCAGGGCTCTTATCTGGAGCCTTATGTTGGGGTAGGGGCAGAGGTGTGAGGACATTTCCTTGTCACCTGCAGACGGAAGGTGTGCGTGTGTCTGTGAACGTCCTGAACAAGCAGAAGGGAGCGCCTTTGCTGTTTGTGGTCCGCCAGAAGGAGGCTGTGGTGTCCTTCCAGGTGCCCCTAATCCTGCGAGGGCTGTGAGTAGGAACTGGGCTTAGGGAGGGGTTGGCCTAGGCCAGTCCTGGTGCAGAACCTCACCAGGAGCCCCCCTACTTTTCCCCTTCCAGTGCCTGAGGCTGGCCAGTGGCCTGGAGGCCACGCCAGCTAGCTTGGAGCTTGTCAGCATGGGAGGTGTGGGAGCCTGACTGCAGGAATTGGGGCCTCGCTCCGCTGGACTGGCCGGCTGGCTGGGACAGCAGTCACAGCCTGACTCTGCTCTGGGCTACAGGTTTCAGCGCAAGTACCTGTACCAGAAAGTGGAGCGGACGCTGTGTCAGCCCCCCACCAAGAATGAGTCTGAAGTCCAGTTCTTCTATGTGGACGTGTCCACACTGTCACCAGTCAATACCACATATCAGCTCCGGGTCAGCCGGATAGATGACTTTGTGCTCAGGTCTGCGGGGTAGATTGAGGGAACCTCTGGGGACTAGCTTTCCTTTCAAGCTCTGGGAGTGACTTGAAGGTCCTTCTGTGCCCTGCAGGACTGGGGAGCAGTTCAGCTTCAATACCACTGCAGCCCAGCCCCAGGTAAAATCCTCTGTCCTCCTCATCTCCACACCCCCATTAAGGGACAGGTGGACAGTGTGGATTGAGAGCAGGTGTGGCCCGTGGCGGCCTAGCTGCAGGTTGGGAGTGGTTGCATCCTCCTGGAGGGGCTCTCTGGAAGCAGGAGCTCCGGCCCTCCGGCCCTCCGGTGGTGAGAGGCAGACAGCAGACAGCAGGACACTGCAGAGGCGCGAGTCAGGCTGCCGTCCTCCCACCTCATGACTGTCATGCCTATGCTGAGTGCCCATAAGGCTGCTCATAGTCAAGGCCTTCTGCAGAGAGCCTCACCCAAGAGGAGTCTGGGGCCGGGATCAGGGGGCAATGAGAGCATCTTCGTAGGGTGGGGTTCTCTCTGTCCTCCTGTGCCCTCAGTACTTCAAGTATGAGTTCCCTGAGGGAGTGGATTCAGTGATTGTCAAGGTGACCTCCTACAAGGCCTTTCCCTGCTCCGTCATCTCCATCCAGGATGTTCTGGTGAGTAGCCCGTCCTCTTCCTCACCCACGGGCAGCAGCATCACTAGAGAGGGGCCAGGGCCTAGGTACCCATCTGTCTGTCTGTCTTTTCAAACCTCCTTCCTCTCTAGTGCCCTGTCTACGACCTGGACAACAACGTAGCCTTCATCGGCATGTACCAGACTATGACCAAGAAGGCAGCCATCACTGTGCAGGTGGGACACACGCATGGTCTTTGAGGGGACGTGGCTGCCTGTTAAGCTGGGTGACTTTCCAGACCCTGCCCTTTTCCTCTGCCCCTGCCTACCTCACCCACGGCTGAATCCTGGCCCACCACTACCTGTGATTTTGGGTTCCCCAGTATACATGAATTGAAGAGTGATGCCAGTCACTCTTGGGGACAGGAAAGCGCAGCATTGCCCTTCTTTATTCCCCCTTTTTATTTCATTCACTGCAATGCAAATGAGGGTGCTCTTCAAGGCGCGGTGCTACCCTGGCACAGCCTGAGACGGCTCTGCAGCAGGGAGGGGCAAGCCCTGTGTTCACCTCATCAAGCTGTGCGGCTCACCGATGGCAGTGTGATGCCGGCCTCCACTTTTTCTTTGGGCTGATACCATGTGGGGCGTGTTCCCATTTGCTCACCTGGCCTAATGCAGGTTGGGTTGGGGCTCTAGAGCCAGATAATCCTGGTTCTCCCAGTGCTTGGCAGTGTGACCCATGCTGGCTTCTGAATCTGTCCAACACAGGTCATAACAGTAAAATAGCATTTCTCTCAAGAATGTTTGTGGGAGCTAGGGGCACCGTGCCATATGCATGTAATGCCACCGACTTGCGAGGCTGAAGCAGGAGGAGCACATGGTCAAGACCTTGCTTCATAGCTTCTCCAAATTTTGTCTCAAAATAAAAAATAAGGGGCCAGGGAGATGGCTCAGTAGAATAAGCACTTCCTTGGCAAGCGCAAGGGCCTGAGTTCAATCCCTGGTTCTGAAAAAAAAAAAAAAAAAAACTTAAAAAAATTAAAAAAGGAGTAGAGGGGCTGGGGAGATAGCTCAGTGAATAAGTGCTTCCTTGGCAAGCAGAAGGGCCTGAGTTCAATCCCTGATTCCAAAAAAAAAAAAACAAAAAACAAAAAACACGGGGCCGGGGAGATGGCTCAGTGGAGTAAGTGCTTCCCTGGGAAACGCAAGGGCCTGAGTTCAATCCCCGGTTCCGGAAAAAAAAAAAAAAACAGGGACATAGCTCAGTGTGAAAGTCCTGTGTTCAATTCCCAGTACCAGATTTTATGAGGATTAAGTACTATGTTATAAAGATCTTAGCATAGTTCCGGTTCCAGGCGCTTGGTCGCTGCAGTTTACAGTGCAGTTACGGCCAAGTCCAAGAACCACAGCATGCATAACCAGTCCCGAAAGTGGCACAGAAATGGCATCAAGAAACCTCGGTCACAAAGATACGACTCTCTGAAGGGGGCAGATCCCAAGTTCCTGAGGAACATGCGTTTTGCCAAGAAGCACAACAAGAAGGGCTTCAAGAAGACGCAAGCGAACAATGCCAAGGCCACGAGTGCATGCGCCGAGGCTGTCAAGGCCCTTGTCAAGCCCAAGATCATCCCAAAGGGAGTAAACCGCAGGCTCGCTCGACTTGCCTATATTGCCCACCCCAAGCTTGGGAAGCATTGAGTTTTGCCCGCATTGCCGAGGGTCGCAGGCCTTGCCGGCCAAAGGCCCAGGCTCCAGCTTCTGCTACAGCCCCGGCTTCCAAAGGTGCCCAGGCCTTTGTGAAGGCTCCACAGTGAGAGCCTCTTATCTGCTGATGTAAAAACAGAAGAACTGGTGTGACCCCTGGGGTGCCACCTGCGGGGGGGCTGGTGTCCTCCTGTGCTCTTTGTACAAATAAACCTGAGGCAGGGGGAAAAAATGATCTTAGCATAGTATCTGTACCAGAGTGAATATCAGAAGAGAATGGTGGCCACTCGTTGATGTCTCTTCCTTGCCCTGCAGCGCAAAGACTTCCCCAGCAACAGCTTCTATGTGGTGGTGGTAGTGAAGACTGAAGACCAGGCCTGTGGGGGTTCCTTGCCCTTCTACCCCTTCGTAGAAGGTAGGCCTTGTGCCCTGCTGCTGGCGAGGGCTGGGGCTGCTTGGTGGCTTCTCAGGAGCTGGGGGAGCCTGCGTAGCTGTTTTTGGATGTGGGGTTCTGGCCCGGGCTCTCCAAGGCCAGGTCTTACCTAGTCAAGCTCCAGACAACTGGAGCAACTTCTTTGCCACTTTGGCACTTTACTTCCAGATGAACCGGTTGATCAAGGACATCGCCAGAAAACCCTGTCGGTGCTGGTGTCCAGAGCAGTCACGTGTGAGTGGGTGACTAAGTGGGTTGGGCAAGCCACCCTCTCTTCCTCCCAGACCCAAGGGCTAGGGTGTTCTCTGCACAGGGAGACCAGGGGGTGGCTGGGCGCCCTGTCCTTGGCAGGGAGGGGGGCTGCAGTGGGGGGGGGGGATGGAGTCTGTGACCCAAAGCTGAAGAGCAGGGTGCTGCCCACTCCGTACTTGTGGGCAGTGTCATCTCACTGGGCTTCACTTTCTTGTCTCTGTAACAGAAGCCAAGAGGTCAGCACTATTAACTCAGCTGTGGGCTTAGCACAAAATTAGCAGCATAATTTGGGGCCCTGGCCAGTGTTCAGTAAATATTTTCTGAGTGATTAAATGGGGCCCTGTATAAACTGGGGAATATAAGGCAAAAACAAGGGATTATGGTATGAGGAGAAATCAGCCTCTCCTATATATTTACTCAGCAAATATTTACTGGGCCCCTCCTATGTCAGGTGCTATGCCAGGGCTATTTTCTGTTTTTTTTCCTTTCCTCTGCTTTCCTCTCTTCCTTTCCCTTGTCTTTCCTGCCATCTTACCTTCCCTTCTCTGTCTTTTTTTTTTTTTTTTTTTTTCATTTATGTATTAGGTACAGGGTCTCATTACGCAGCTCAGACTTGTAATGCTCGACCTGTTTTCAGCTTTCCCAGTGCTGGAATTATAGGCGTGCGCCACCACAACCAGACTTGGTGGATGGCTCAGCGCACCCAGGGCAGGACTGGCACAGCATGTG